GCTGATAATCGGAAGAGACATAAAGAAGAAAATAATGATCACCTTGATGACTTTAAAGCTGCAGAACATGCTTGGCAGAAACACAAGCAACTCAATGAATCTATTATTGTTGCACTTTTTCAGGGTCAGTTCAAATCCACGGTACAGTGCCTCACCTGTCACAAAAAGTCTAGGACATTTGAGGCCTTCATGTACTTGTCTCTACCCTTAGCTTCTACAAGTAAATGTACATTACAGGTAAGCTCAAAGGAAAATGATTTGTTGAATAAAAGTTGTTTATGCATACAAACATATACTTTATTCAGTAACTTCTGCTCTTCACCCCTATGAACGTTTTATAGGTAAAATTCCCACATTTTGTTTTAATTATATCTGTGTATATTAGAAAAATTTAAAGATTTTTTTAAAGTTTTCCTTTTTAAAAGATATTTTCCTGTTAAATATTCTTTCAGAATTAAATGTTTTTTAAAGCTTGCACTTTGAAGTTTGAAAATTGTATAGTGATTTTAACTTAGGTTCACTTTTATAAGAATTTGCTCTACCTGGGGATCAAATAGCCTGTTTTCCTCACAACAGTGTAATTTAGCTAGCTTGTTGATACCTTTGTGTTCGCTTCCTTGAGAATGTCCTTTCTTCCAGCAAGACTTCCAGAGGCACTGGGTAGAGCGCAGACATGCAGGACTGCTTCCCTCCGCCCCTCGCAGCGCTCACCAACACACTGCACTCTTGTTACTGTCGGCTCTCCCCTCTGGGTGCCCCACTAGGTCATAAACTTTAGGAGTGGACTCTTCTTCTAGTTCACTGTTGTATCCCTCATGCCCAGCAGAATAACTTCTTGAGTAGATGCCTAGTGATACTGATGAGTAACTACTACTTGTTTTGGCCTCCAGGATTGCCTTAGATTATTTTCCAAAGAAGAGAAGCTCACAGATAACAATCGGTTTTACTGTAGTCACTGCAGAACTCGACGGGATTCTTTAAAAAAGATAGAAATCTGGAAGTTGCCACCTGTGCTTTTAGTGCATCTGAAACGGTAAAGGAAACAAATTTTTCTACAATAGTAGATGAAGGAATTCTAAGTCCTTCATTTTATAAGTCATTTTGTTGTACTGCCTGCTAAAGATGCATTACAAAAGAAGATTATCTCAGGGAAATAAGGCAGAAATGAGAGACTCCTTACTTAGTGTTTGCAATAACAGAACAAAATGATAACATGACTCTTTCATGTAATTTCATCTTCAAAAAAATGAAATTATTGCATTTCAAATATAGAATTTTACATCATTATAAAACATCAAATGAAAATGTATTTATACAGTAGAACAGAAATGATTAGCCAATAAAATTTATCAAACAGTAAACTAAAAGAATCCTGTGCTGAAGATGAAATATAGAATGTTTTTTAAAGATTTATTTTAGAGTGAGTATGCACATGCGGAGGCAAAGTCTGAGAAGGTTGAGAGTCTCAAACAGACTCTGTGCTGAGCACAGAGCCCAACAGAGCGCTCGACCTCACGACCTGAGATCACGACCTGAGCTGAAATGAAGAGTCGGGCCCTTAACCAACTGTGCCACCCAGGCACTCCTGAAATATAGGTTTTTAAAATGTAGTCTTAAAGATGTTAAGGATGCCATTGTTGGGTGCAGACATTTTTGTCCAGGTTTTTCCCTGGACCTGACCCTGTAATAGAAGAAATAAGAGCAGATCGTTGTAAACATATCCCAGGTCTTTTGGTTTTTTAAGTTTAATCTTTTTATTGAGAGCTATAATTTGTTTCAAAGAATATTAATTTGTTTCATTTTGTATTATTGGAGATTCTTTGGCAGTTACTATAATTTCAACATTGATGTGTTCAGATTCCTCATGTAAATTTTCTAACAGAAGCTTGTTTAGTTTTTTTTCTTGAGGATTGTAGAGGTATAAACATTCTATAAATGATTACATATTTAATATAAATGGTTCAGAATTCAGTTTTTGAAAATTAACTCTGAAATAATATAATAATATATGATATTATATTACCATATATAATATTATACCAGTATTTTGGTGTTTAAAGGAGCAGAGTATGTCAGGACTGTGGAATGCCATTGCAGTTTTCTCCTGCTGTGCAAAAAGAGTATTCCTGTGAAATCTCTCGTAAGCCAAAATGGTAAAAAGCAAAGAAGCAGTTACCATTAATTTATAGGGAAAATCTTTGAACATTTCCAGACCCCCAAAATAACCTTCTCTTGGGCTTTTCTGATACCTTAGGACACATCTTGCTAACACAGATGCCAACAGACAGTTCAGAGCTGTGGCAGCTTGACGCTTATTCCGGGCAGGACCTTGGTGGTAGCGCTCTGGCCACTCGGCAGGGTGCCTGCCGCCTCCTCCAGCTTTACTACAGAACATGATGCCGCGTGCTGTTTTCACTTTGCACCTTTTTTCTTAAAAGCAGAAATCCTCTTCAGATTTCTTTTGGTTAGCAAAAACAGCTACTAATATGTCTTCCCTAAAACGAAGCAGTGTCACGCCAACTTTTGAAAAGCAGGGGGTATCTGCATGGTCTGTGTGCACATAGTTTCCAGCTCCAGTGTCCCCAACAGTACAGTCTTAAACGTATAGAGCAGCTCTCCTCAGTCTTTCTTCTGTACTTGTGTGGTGACTAGCATTATCAACATGGGACTTCACAGCTTATTACCTTTGTAGACTCATCTAACAGTTCTAGCCAGCTTAGGGATCAAGGGACCAAGGTAGGACTCTGTCTCTACACCCCTTAGCTGTTTGACTTAGGGCAAGTCATTGCATATCTCAGTGCCTCAGTTTTCTCGTTTGTAAGGTGGAAATGAAGCCAAACATCTTTACAGGTCCTTCCACTACTGAAATTCTGAGTGTGTTTGAAATGGTTTATGATCCTGGCTAAAAATCTAGAATATTAAGGAATGAATTAGAGGCCTTCTGATATTTTTGGTCTGTTGGTATAATTGCTGTTATGTTTTGCTCTGCAGTTTTTCCTATGATGGCAGGTGGAAACAAAAATTACAGACCTCTGTGGACTTCCCGTTAGAAAATCTTGACTTGGCACAGTATGTTATTGGTCCAAAGAACAATTTAAAGAAATATAATTTGTTTTCTGTTTCAGTAAGTATCTTGAACTAATTTTCATATTTTGCTTAGAAAGAAAAAGTTTCAAGTGGTTCCTTACTATATAGGAAAATAAAGCTTTGAATTATTTAAAATATGTTGAATATGTTGATAATTTCATTTTGAACTGATTTTCAATCTCGTTTGGCACAGAATCACTACGGTGGGCTGGATGGAGGCCACTACACTGCCTATTGTAAAAATGCAGCAAGACAGCGGTGGTTTAAATTCGATGATCATGAAGTTTCTGATATCTCTGTTTCTTCCGTGAAGTCTTCGGCAGCTTATATCCTCTTTTATACTTCATTGGGACCACGAGCAACTGACGTAGCCACATAAGGAGAAGTAGGTTATAAGCTAGTTATCTTTTAAGAGGCTGAGCAGCACAACTCTTGACATACTTACAAAGATACTGGATAGCTATAGCTGGCCCTTTAGAGGAATTCTAGGACAGTGGGAGCTGTGTTACTATCACCATATATTTTAGGTCAGTGCTATTATCGAAAAACTGACTAATATTTAACAAGTATCGCAGTAAGCACTCCTTACAGGTACCATTTATTTCCAAACCTTTATAGTTTACTCCAAAGTTAAAGTAATTAACTAGCTAAGCATTATTATTCTATAGCATTCTATTCTAAAAACCATTATATCCTTTCTTTTCCTTTTCAGTGTATGGCCTTTTCACATTTCTAAATCCCAGCTTGATCTATGAATACTCTAAAATGATGTAAAGCAGATAGGAATGTGTATATATTTATTGCACACTTGCACATCAAATCAATGTACATAGTATAATATGTGGTCCTTTTGTGAAGCCTAGAACTCAGAGGTTTGTTTTTCTTTTGGCCTATTCTGAGTAACTGCAGTGCTTTCTTAGGGAAATGACAGGGCAAAGCTATTTTTTTGTTGGCTTTGGGCTGTATTTGTGCACTAAATCTTTATTCTAAAAAAAAAATAAATGGAAATTTTTCTTTAATTTTTTAAAATGAGAATTTTCATTTACACCTACATTAAAATCTTAATGAGAAAAATAATTTAAAACCCTGTAAGTGTTCTGTCTTTAATTTTATATTAGCAAACCATTTTATACACACACACACACACACACACACACACTTTATCCTACTATATTGACTTAATATTTAGTTCATTTACCCTGTTGCATTAGGACCTGACTTTACTCTGCCTTCAACTTGATCCAAAACTGCACAGGATTCTCAGAGTTGGGAGTCAGAATTAAAATAGAAGGGGATAGGAATCAGACATGACTGCAAAGTGAACTGCATTAAGAACCACACCTTTACAAAATGATGTATTCAAAGAGATAGAGGAGCTTAGAATTTATTATTACCTCATGGACTTAGGTGCTATAGATGAAATAAATAAAAACTCTCCATATAAAAATAAGATTGTAAAAGGTGCTTCTGAAAGATGTCACCATTGGTGGACTGTCAGGGAGAGGATGAAAGGATGGGTTTTGAATTGTGAGGTTGGCAACCTTTCATGTTCTGCAGTTGGTCTAAGAGACTTATTAGAGTTCTTGGCTAAATTGATAAATATTTTAAATCATATTCTTAAGGTCACAGAGCCACTAAACAAAACTTACTTTGGTTTAGCTCCATGAAGCATCTTTGGAAAATAATTTGGTGGATATATGTAATTGAGATACTCTATGATAATTCACCTTAATAAACATTGAATTTTGAAGCCTGAAATTGATACATAATTTGCAGTGCTTTGAAGGCCCCCATTGATTAGAATTTCATTATTTTCATGCTGCCTTTTTTGGTAGGCCCAGACCTATCTTCTTTGGTAGAGCCTTATATAAAAGGGTACACAATATACCAGAAAGACTTAAAAATGTCAGTGATGCAAATAAGTTACAAGAGTTTAATGACAAAGCAAAACTTAAGTACCAGTTTCTGATTGCTTGTTTTGCAATTTTCAGGAAATAGCATTTTTCCTAGCTCTTGCATTTTCTTATAGAAAAGGGCTGGCAGCTATAGAACAGGAGATAGGCTGTAGCAGTTTGAACTGAAGTATCTGGAATCTCACTGATTCGTGTGTCATCAAAGCTATACCAGGCCTCGGTCACTGAGTTCTTGCAGAAAGCAGTGTAGTGGCCACCATCCAGGTCACCGAAGTGGTTCTAGGGGAAGAAGGAATGTCGGACTTAGTATTCACATGCAAATAATTCTGTTGGAACAAAAAAGGTAGGGCCAAGAATATTTTTCATAATTGTCCCTTACGCTAAGTTAAAAGGAAGTAGTAATATTGTTAAATCCTACATATGGCCTAACTGCTATATTATTTTTCATTCATTGAACTGCTTATATATTGGGCCCATTGACTATGTAAAGAGTCTGTGAACGAAATAGGATAGTATTTGGCAGCATCGAATATCATTGAATACTGAGCACCTGCTACACATAAAGATTAAAGGAAATTATAAAATAAGAAGAGTGCTCTTTCCTAAATGAGTTTACAGTTTAATTTTGAAGATAGGCTAAGGAGAGACATGAAAAAAAGACAGTTAACGTTGGGACAAGACGTTTAAACAACTGCATATTGCTGCAACACAATTTGAGGAGCTTGGGCAGCAACAACCCCCTTAGTCATGTAGCATCCAAAGAAGAACCTCTTCCATTCTCTTTTTCCTATGTCTTTCCTAACCCAGTAAAGGAATGTTTGAGACAGATGTTGGAGAACCCCACTTCTCAGAAGATGGACGGTGTAGAGCAGGGGTAACAAACCAGTTGCCCTTGGGCCAAATGCAGCCTGTTTTTGCATGGCCTGGGAGTTAAGAATGCATTTCATATTTTGTATGGTTGAAAAATAAAAGTATTTTGTGATGTGAAAATTATATAAAACTCAAATTTCAGTAAATAAAGTTTTATGGGAACACAGCCATGCTCATTCATTTTATGTTTCTCAGTGGCTGCTTGCACAACACAACAGTAAAGCTGAATAGTTGCAAAAGAGACCATATAGCCCATGAAGCCTAAAATATTTACTATCTGGCCTTTTACAGAGTAAGTTTGCTGACCCCTGGTATAGAGGAAAGAAGATGGATTTTTTTTTTTAAGGTTTTATTTATTTGTCAGGACAAGCAGGGGGTAGCGGCAGGGAGAGGAAGAATAGCAGGCTCGCCCCTGAGCAGAGAACCCAGTGCTGGGCTCCATCCCAGGATCCTGGGATCATGATCTCAGTTGAAGGCAGATGCTTAACTGAGCCACCCAGGCGTCCCAGGAGATGGATTTTTATAGTCAATTCTGACTGAATTCAGTTCTAATACTGCACAATGACCTTAAGGAAATTATTTTAACTTTCTGAGCTTTAATTTCCCCATCTATGAAAATGGGGTAATAAGACACATCTTATACAGCAGTTATCCGGTATCTTTGATATTATAGAACTAACACATAGGAGGTACTTACTAAATGTTCCCTTAGACCTTCATTTTCCCTACCTCTCACGTTACATGTTACAAAAATATCTCAAAGCTGACATTTAAAAGATCCAAGCTCTAGTCCTGGTCCTTGCCCTGTGACCTTAAGCTGACATGCTTCAGCTTCCTCATTTATAAAATGGTGCCCATGATAGTATGATGTAATTGGAGAAAAAGACATTGGGTGGATATGTTAGTATCCAGAAGACGAAGTATTCTTGTTCTGAATGGATCACACTAATCACAGCTGGAGTATTGTGTTCAGTTTGGATAACTTTATGTAAAAAAAATTTTTTTGACATAATAGAAGGTAAAGCATCTTTCTAGAATGAAATTTCAACAGTTAATGGCAGACAATTTGCATGAAAGCCTTGGGTACAAAACTAAGGAAAGCTGGATAAACTTGGTAAACACCCTTTGAAATGCATGGCTGATACTAAAAGATTTTATAGTGAGTGTAATCCCCAGGGACCAAAAATAGGAAATAAAAGAATAGCCAGATATGTGTTTGATACCATGACTGCCTGGGCATAAAGACAGTTCCTGGTCCCTGGAACCAGGGTGCCCGGATTTCAACGGTTCCACAAGCACAAGAGGTAGTCTTAGGTTTCTGCAAGGCGAGGCTTTGGATTGAGAGCCACACACATAGCCAGGATTCTTAAAGAGACTCACCCTCAGTAAAGAATAAATTAGTACTTGTCTTAGCTTATGCTCTTGGTGCAGAGACTAAGTCATTCCGGGAATTTGTTACCACAGACTTACTGGAGATTCAAAATTACACTACCTACATGGCCTCAGAAGCCTGTGAATTTATTCTGGGGGTTATTTTGAGAATTACTTGGGTGACATTTGGCAAAAGGAAAGAGAATTACATTCTGTTTCCAGATAGGGGTGCCTAATTCAGGCTGTATGGGATACATACATATAAAACCGCAATGATGTTCAGCTCGCAGTTCGGAATTACAGAACACACATGGAAACAACCTCCCATGAGTAAAAGTCAGAAGGCAATAAATGGCATGATTAACAACCCCTCCCGAGGACTTTAGATAATAGATTTACCAAATAAAGACTCCAAAAAAAAGCATGATTGATAGGGGCGCCTGGATGGCTCAGTCGTTGGGCGTCTGCCTTCAGCTCAGGTCATGATCCCAGGGTCCTGGGATCGAGCCCCACATCGGGCTCCCTGCTCAGCGGGAAGCCTGCTTCTCCCTCTCCCACTCCCCCTGCTTGTGTTCTCTCTCTCGCTGTGTCTCTCTCTGTCAAATAAATAAATAAATAAATAATCTTAAAAAAAAAAAAAAGGTGATAGACAAGGGTGCCTGGATGGCTGAGTCAGTTAAGTGGCTGCCTTCAGCTCAGGTCATGATCCCGGGATCCTGGGATTGAGCCCCCACATCGGGCTCCCTGCTCAGTGGGGAGCCTGCTTCTCCCTCTTCCTCAGCCTGCAGCTCCCCCTGCTTGTGCTGTCAAATAAATGAATGAAATCTTTAAAAAAATAAAATAATAAAGTGATAGATACTTGAGGAAGCTAACAAAAAACCAACGAGAACTTCCAGAAATGAAAAATACTTAAAAATTCAGTATAAAAAAGTTGGTGTGGAAATTAAATAGTACATAGAATTGGCAAGACAATGAATAAACTATAAAAATGAAACTAAGGAAATTATCCTGAACACAGTAGTGATGAAAAATTGAAGAAGATTCAGGGGCGCCTGGGTGGCTCAGGCGGTTAAGCGCCTGCCTTCGGCTCAGGTATGATCCCAGGGTCCTGGGATCGAGCCCCACGTCAGGCTCCCTGCTCAGCAGAGAGCATGCTTCTTCCTCTCCCTCTCCCTGCTGTTCTGCCTACTTGTGCTCTCTCTCTCTGTCAAATAAATAAATAAAATCTTAAAAAAAAAAAAAATTGAAGAAGATTCAGTGTATGCTTAGAAGTTCTAAAAGAAAAGAGTATATTATAGGAGCAAGACCATATTAAAAGTGATAACGACTGGAAACTATTAAAAGTCATGAATTTTCAAATTTGGGAAATAAACCAAGGGTAAATAAAAATAATACTGCAGAACAACAAAAGCAAAGAGAAAAATCTTAAAAGCAACCAGAAAGAAAACCCACATTTCTGCAGAAACTTTGCAGGCCAGAAGGGATTGTCCTGATATCCTCAAAATGCTGAAAGGAAAAAACCTGCAGTGAAGAATACTCCACCCAGTAAGGTTATCATTCAGAAGTGAAAGGGAGATGAGGTGCTCACCTCGGCACTGCATATATTAAACACTGCAGCATGACAGAGAAGTTTAGCATGGCCTCTGCATGAGGATGACAGGCAAATTCATTAGAGTTTCCCCAAACAAAGGTGAAAGGAGTTCCTCCCCACTAAACCAGCCTTACAAGCAAGGTTAGAGACTTAAGTGAAAAAAGGCCATAAACTAGAAGAAAATTATGAAAGGAAAAATTTTCACAGGTAAAAAAGCAAACACACAGGAAAGGTAGTAGATCAGTCACTAAGCTAGAATAAAGGTTAAAACACGAAAGTAGTAAAAATTCTATTTAGATATAAATTATATCTACAAAAATTACTCAAGGAATATAAGAAAGATGTAAAATAGAACATGGATATACATAAAACTTGGAGGGGGGAGTAAAATGTGCTTTTAGAATGTGTTCAAACTTAACCATCACAACTTAATATAGACTGCTATATACAGGGGTGCCTGGGTGGCTCAGTCATTAAGCATCTGCCTTTGGCTCAGGTCATGGTCCCAGGGTCCTGGGATCGAGTCCCACATCGGGCTCCCTGCTCAGTGGGAAGCCTGCTTCTCCCTCTCCCTGCTTGTGTTTCCGCTCTTGTTATGTCTCTATCAAATAAATAAAATCTTAAAAAAAAAAAGACTGCTATATACATAGGATGTTATATATGAACCTCGTGGTAACCACAAACCAAAAACTTAGGATACACAAAAAATAAAGGAGTCCAAGCCTAACACTGAATAAAGTCAGAGAGCAAGAGAAGAAGAAAGGAATAGAGAGGAACTACAAAACAATCAGAAAGCAATTAAAAAAATAGCAGTAAGTACATACCTATTGACATTTCAAATGTAAATGCACTATATGATCCAATCAAAAGACGGCATGACTGAATGGATGAAAAATAAGCCCCATCTATAGGCTGCCTAACAAGAGTCTCACCTCAGACCTAAAGACACAGAATGGGGCGCTTGGCTCAGTCGGTATAGTGTGTGACTCTTGATCTCAAGGTTGTAGGTTTGAGCCCCATGTTGGGTGTAGAGATTACTTAAAAATAAAATCTAGGGGCACCTGGGTGGCTCAGTCTTTAAGCATCTGCTTTCAGCTCAGGTCATGGTCCCAGGGTCCTGGGATCGAGCCCCGCATCGGGCTCCTTGCTCAGCGGGGAGCGTGCTTCTCCCTCTCCCACTCCCCCAGCTTGTGTTCCCTCTCTCGCTATGTTGCTCTCTGTCAAATAAAATCTTCAATAAAAAAATAATAATAAATAAATCTAAAAAAATAAAAACTACTTAAAGTGAAGGGATGGAGAAAGATATTCCATGGAAATGAAAACAAAAAAGTCTGGCGTGGCAATACTTGTATCACACAAAGAGACAAGGAAGGGCTTTACCTAATAAGAGATTAATCCAACAAGAGGACATAACAATTGTCAATATCTATGTACCCAGTAGAGGAGCAACCAGATATATAAAGCAAACATTAAAGGGAGTCAGAGAAGATGGTGGATTGGAGGATCCTGAGCTCACCTTGACCCACAGACACAACAAGATAACAGCTACATCTATACAATGAACTCTGAAAATGACCTGAAGACAAGAAGAACAGACCCACCACAGTTAATCTAGAGAAGGCCACATCAAAAAGGGTAGGAGGTATGGAGACAACCGACCTCTGGCAGGACTTAACCACAAACAGGAGGGACACCACAAGCACAGAGAAGGGAGAGGATCAGACCCCACACCAGGCATCCCTAGCACTGGGGACCTGCCCTGGGAAGATGAGTTCCTAACATCTGGCTTTGAGAACCAGTGGGGATTCACTTTGGGAGCTTCAAAAATCAGTGGGACTTAATGCTAGGAAAGCCAGACGGAAATAGGAAACTGAGTCCTCACCCTTAAAGAACCAGAATAAAAAATAATTCAGCCAGGGAAGATCCGATCCAAGATGGTGATGTAGGAAGACGGAATTCATTTTCTCCACAGAACACACCAAATTACATCTATTATAAAGCAACTCCTCCTGAAGAACTGAGGGCCAACTGAACAGTTTTTGCACAACAGAAGAACAGCAAAAGAGAACAGCAAGAGAAATGGAGACCCATTAATGAAGGGTCTATGGGGAGGGATAGTACTGAGGGACCAGGAACAGATTCCTATCCTTGGACACAGGAAAAACAAAAACAAAAACAGCAGTTTAAGAGAGCAACCATCATGTAAAAGAGCCAGCCCTAAAACTCTGCCAAACAGCAGGGTTGTTGCGAGAACACTCTCCGGGTGGGAGGGGCTGATGGACACAATTTATGCTGCCTTCCACCCTGACAGCATAGACCAGTGCACATTTCAGGCACCCTAACAGGCCCGTCCCCAGGCCCAGCCCATACCAGCCCCAGCTGTCCCACCGAGGCGGCCAAAGCCAGTACACACTGGAACCCCCCCGGTTAAGCGCTCACAATAGCTCTAGTATTTATGCCAAGGTGACAGGCGCAAAGCATGCTGGAATATTCCAGGCCCACACAACTTCAGATAACAGTGAAGGGATCAATCCAACAAGAGGACACAATTGTAAATACCTATGCACCCAACAGTGAAGTATCTAAATATATAAAGCAAATATTGACATAAAGAGATAAATTGATAATAATACAATAATAGTAGAGAACCTTAAAACCCCACTTACATCAATGGATAGATCATCCAGGAAGAAAAAAAAACCAATAAGGAAACCATGTCTTTGAAACATTAGATGAGATGGACATAACAGATATATACAAACATACCATATAAAAACAGAATACACCGGGTGCCTGGGTGGCTCAGTTGGTTAAGCAACTGCCTTCGGCTCAGGTCATGATCCTGGAGTCCCGGGATCGAGTCCCACATCGGGCTCCCTGCTCAGCAGGGAGTCTGCTTCTCCCTCTGACCCTCTTCCCTCTCATGCTGTCTCTCATTCTCTCTCTCTCAAATAAATAAATAAAATCTTTAAAAAAAAACAAAAACAGAATACACCTTCAAGTACATACAGAATATTCTCCAGAATAGATCATATGATAGGCCACAAAAAAAGGCAGTAAATTTAAGAAGACTGAAACCATACCATGCATCTTTTCAGACTACAACAGTATAAAAATAGAAATCAATCACAAGAAAAAAACTGGAAAGAACACAAAACACGGGGAGGCTAATAAACATGATACTAAACAACCAATAGGTCAATGAAGCAATCAAAGAAGTTATAAAGAAAAAATACTTGAAAACACAAATGGTCCAAAATCTTTGGGATGCAGCAAAAGCAGTTCTAAGAGGGAAATTTATAGTAATACAGTCCTGCCTCAAGGAACAAGAAAAACCTCAAATAAACAACCTAACTTTACACCTAAAGGAACTAGAAAACAACAAATAAAACCCAAGGTTAGTAGAAGGAAGAAAATAGTAAAGATCAGAGCAGAAATAAAGGTATAGAGATTTTTTTTAATAGAAAAAAATTAATGAAACCAAGAGCTGGTTCCTTGAAAAGATAAAATTGATGAACCCTTATCCAGATTCGTCAAGAAAAAAAAAAAAAAAAAAGAACGGACCCAAATAAATAAAATGAGAAACGAAAGAAGAGGAGTACCAACCAACATGACAGAAACACAAAGGGTTATAAGAAAATATTATATGCCAACAAATTAGACAACCTAGAAGAAATGGATACATTCCTAGAAACATAATCTTCCAAAATTGAATCAGGAGGAAATAGAAAACCTGAAGAGACCAATCTCTAGTAACAGAAGTGACCCGGTGTTCAAAAATCTACCAAAGGGGCGTCTGGGTGGCTCAGTTGGTTGAACATCTGCCTTCAGCTCAGGTCGTGATCTCCAGGCCCTGCATCTGGCTCCCTGCTCAGCAGGAGTCTGCTTCTCTGCCTCCCCCCACCTCGCTTGTGCTTACATGCATGCTCTCGCTCAAATGAATAAATAAAATCTTCAAAAGAAACAAAAACAAACAAAAAAAACCTACCAAAAAATAAAAGTTCCAGACCAGATGGCTTCACAGGGGAATTCTGCCCAACATTTAAAGAAAGTAATACCCATTCTTCTCAAACTATTCCAAAAAAATAGAAGAGGAAGGAAAGCTTCCAAATTTATTCTATGAAGCCAGGATCATCCTGATACCAAAACCAAAGTCACCACAAAAATGCTATAGGCCAATATCCCTGAAAAACACAGAGGCAAAAATCCTCCACAAAAATAGCGCCTCGGTGGCTCAGTTGGTTAAGCATCTGCCTTCGGCTCAGGTCATGACCTGGGGGCCTGGGATCCAGTCCTGCATCAGGTTCCCTGTTCAGTGGGGAGCCTGCTTCTCCCTCTCCCTCTGCCCTTCCCCCGACCCCTCCAACACTTGTCCTTGCTTGCACTCTCATGCTCTCTCTCTCTCAAATAAGTAAATAAGATCTTTTTAAACAATCCTCCACAAAATATGAAACTGCTTTCAACTACACGTTAAAGGATTATTCACCATGCTCACTTCAACAGCACATATACTAAAATTGGAATGATAGAGATTAGCATGGCCCCTGCGTCAGAATGACATTCAAATTTGTGGCAATTTGTATACTGAAAAAAAAAATCATTCACCACAATCAAGTGGAATTTATTCTGGAGATGCAAGGATGGTTTAATATTTGCAAATCAATAAACAGGATACACTACATCAACAAAACAAAGCATAAAAATCACAGGATCACCTCCATAGATGCAGAAAAAGCATATGGCAAAGTACAACATCCATTCATTTTAAAGTCTCAATAAAGTGGGTTTAGAAGGAACATACCTCAATATAATAAAGGCCATATATGACAAATCCATAGCTAACATTCAATGGTGAAAAACAGAACTTTTCCTCTAAAATCAGGAACAAGAGAAGGATGCCCACTCTCACTTTTATTCAACATAATACTGGAAGTCCTAGCCATAGCAAGCAGACAACAAGAAGAAAGAAAAGAGGCATCCGTATTGGTAAAGAAGTTAAACTGTCACTATTTGCAGATGACATGGTACTATACATAGACCATCCTAATGACTCCACCAAAAAACTACTAAATGAATCCAGTAAAGTTACAGGATACA